CATCTAGAACTAATGATGTAATGTATGGGGATTAACATAAGAATAAAAAAAAATGTAATTAGGTTGGCAGCTTAAAAAAAAAAAAGTTGTGTAATATGGCTATGACAATGCTTAGAAGGAAATTTATACCTTAATAAAATGTTTACATCAGAAATGAAAATAGGTCCAAATTCAATAATCTAAGCTTCCTTTTTATGAAGCTAGAAAAAAGCAAATTAAATACAAAATAAGTAGGTGGAAGGAAATAATAAAAAGCATAAGTAAATGAAACAGAAAACAGATACAGCATGAAGAAAAATCGATACAATCAAAAGCTTATTTAAAAAAAAATCAATGAAATCAATAAACTTCTAGCTAGACTGATGGAGAAAAGGAGGAGGGGGAAGGAGAGGAAGGTAAAGAAGAGGAAATGTTGAAGGGGGAAGGAGATACGAATTCCCATGATCAGGAATGAAAGAAGTGACATCACTACAGATACTACAGACTTGCAAAGAACTAACAGAATATTGTAATCAACTCTATACAAATAAATCTGACAATTTAGATGAAATGAAAAAATTCACTGTAAGATACAAATCATCAGACTCAAGAAGAAACAGAAAATCTGAACAACCCTATATCTACTAACTACATTTTGCTATTAAAATCTTACCACAAGAAAGACTCCAGGCCCAGATGGCTTCACTGATGAATGAAAATTTAAAGGAAAAATACCATTTCAACACATTTTTAGAAAATGGAGGAGGAAGGAATACTCTCCCACTATTTTCTTATTTATTACCCTGATACCAAAACAGGATAAGGACATTATAAGAAAACTATAAACCAATATCTTTCAAGAATTTAAATTAAAAGACATTTAATAATAGCATATTGAATCAAGTAAAATATTTTTTTAAATGGAAAGACACCATGATCAAGTATGGCTTATCTCAGGAATGGAAGGTTGGCTTAACATTCAAATTTCAGTCAATGTAAATCACCATATGAACAAAATAAAGAGAAAAAACATGTAAACATCTCAGTAGATGCAGAAAAAAAAAATCATGACCCAACTCAATATCCATTCATGATTTAAAAAACCCTCAGCAAAAAAGGAACAGGAGGAAAATCCCTAACTTGATTAAGAGCATCTAAAAAAAAAAAATCGATAGTTAACACCATATTTAATGGTCAGAAATTGAATGCTTTCCCCTTAAGATCAAGACTCTTACCACTTCTAGTCAACATAGTACTGAAGCACTCACACACTGCTGGGGAGAATGTAAAATGGTACAACCACCTTGGAAACAATTTTGACAGTTTCCTATAGGGTTAACCATATATTTATATGACACATTAATGCCACTCCTAAAATTAAACCAAGAGAAATAAAACATATTTCCACATCAAGACTTGTAATTAAATACTCATTGCAGTCTTTACACAAAAGTCCCAAACTGGAAAGAACCTAAATGTCAATCAACAGGTGAATGGCTAAACAGGGAAATACTACTCAGTGATAAAAAGAAACAAACTACTGATTTGCTCAGAAATATGGATAAATCTCAACATCATCAGGCTGAGAAAAATCACAAACTTCAAAAATGGTCATCTTTCATGATGATATGCAGAATAGTACCTACATGAATTTGATGCTCCCCACCTCCCAGCTCAACAAGTGAAACTAAGCCAGGTGATATTATGGCAACTTGGTGGTCAACTTTGGATACATAATAAAATGAAAGCAGAACTGCATATAACATTCCATTATGTTCCCAACTATTCACCATCCATCTCTGATACTCCCTCTAGAATACTGAACTGCACCTCTTTATTGCGACGATCAGAGTAAAGCCAGTCTCATGAGTGAACTATAGGTCCTCCACAATCCAGTCCCCGCCAACTGCAACCACCTTGGTCTCCTTGCTCTATCCACATCCCAAACACAGGGTACAATGTCACAACATTCACGCTGCTGTCTCCCCACCCTCACCTTGCTCTGCCAGACAGCCACACCACTTAGCTGCTTCTCTTTCAAGTCTTTGCTCAGCTGGGACCTCACCACTTAATTTAAAATACTGTGCTCCATGGGATGCCTGGGGGGCTCAGTCGGTTGAGCGTCCGTAACTCTTGGTTTCACCTCAGGTCATAATCTCGGGGTCATGAGATCAAGCCCTGTGTCAGGAACCATGCTCAGTGGGGAGTCTGCTTGAGAGTCTTTCCCTCTGTCCCTACCCCTAAATGAATGAAGGAACAAATAAATGAATCTTAAAAAAAAATAATAAAAGTAAAAATACTGCCCTCGGGGCACTTGGCTGGCTCAGTCAGTGGAGTGTGCAACTCTCGATCTTGGGGTTATGAGTTCAAGCCCTACATTGGGTGTTGAGATTACTTAAAAACAAAACAAAACAAAAAAAAACCTATCACCCTCCTTCTCCCCAGGACTCTTTTCCTATTCACTCTCCCGAGCACTTTTCATACTCTAATAGAGGACGCACTTGGCCTTTCTTGTTAGTGTCTGTCTGCCCACAAATAGAAGGTTAGCTCCATGAAGGCGGGGTTCTTGTATCTCCTGTTCACTGCTGGACCCTCAGTGCCTCCGAGAGCCCCTGGCTGGTACACAGCAGTGCTCAGCAAACGTGTGTTGAGTTTGTTTACTCGACAGCCTACTTTTCAGACTTTTGTCTACTTCATCTTCCCTTCCCAGCACCGAGTACATGGTAGATGCTGGGTGCTTGTAGGAATAAATGAGTGAAATGAGTGAGAGGAAAAGCAGGGCTTGTAACCCTAAAATCATTTAAGGGATGTATTTTCTCACCTGTAATTGTTGCTGTAGGTGGGTGATTTCAGCAATTCTCAACTCTCTGGATTTGTTTGTACTCTCAATTTCTTGCCTTTGTGTGGTCAATCGACACCTGATATCTTGAAGTTTTCCTTCTAGTTGATGCTTTTTATCATTCTTTAACAGGTGAAAAATAATTATTATTATTACCATTTTTAATGGTTCAGAGGTAGTAAACAGTTGACCCTTGACCAACATGAGTTAGAACTACACGGGTCCAGCTACACATGGATTTTTGTCAATAAATAACAGTACACTACTGTAAATGTATGTTCGCTTCTTTATGACTTTATTCACATTTTCTTACTTCTAACTTTATGGTAAGAATACAGTATATAATACATATAACATATGAAATATGTGTCAATTCACTTCTTATGTTATCAGTAAGGCTTCTGGTCCACAGTAGGCTACTAGCAGTTAAGTTTTAGGGGAGTCAAAAGTTACACAAAGCATTCTGACTGCATAGGATCTGTGCCCATAAGCCCCATGTTGTTCAAGGTTCAACTGTAGTCCCAAAGCATAATCAAACTTGACTCACTAGAGCTTCTAATTCAAATTCCAGAGTCTTTTTCTTTGCTTTCAGTACAACTATGTCTTCTTGTTCTTTGTTTCTTTGATTGAGTAGTTCTTGTCTTCGATTCCGTTCCCATTCAAGTTGTCGTTGCCTTTCAAGTTCTCGCTTTGCAGCCTGTGGCATTTACAAACAGACAACTTATTAATTTTTTTATTCCTGACATGATACAATGTCTCTTAATAAATGTAACATCCAGGAAGTCTTTTGTTTTAGGGATAAAATGTTACACACTGCAAAAGCTTCTATTACAAAATAGCAAAACAAAATTTACACAAACATAGTATTCCTTCTATGGCAAAAAGAGAATATTTAGAAAAGCTATTATAGTTAGATAAGATGAGGACAGACAGGATTCATTTCATCATTGGAATTCGATTGTTTATGCCTTCAAGAATGTTTGAAGTGATAAAAAGAAAACTGTTCTTCCTCATTTACTGACTTATAAGGAGCAAGAAAAATGTCTTTAATCTAGTCCACTAAAACCCCAGAACAAAAAAGCAAAAACAAAAAATACCCCCAAAATAAAAACTTTTTTCTATCAAATGAGAAATTACTCATCTCAAGTTTTAAAAGTTTATTGATCCCCCTCTCCCCTAATCATTCATTTTCTTTTTACCACAGAAGCTTCCATAATTTCTGTGGCAATGACCACTCTCTTTTAAGCTGACTCTGATGGCTGCTGGGAAAAGTACACATCCAGAGCACCTGGCACTCTTTTTTCCTTTCTTTTTTTTTTTTTAAGATTTTTTTATTTTTGAGAGAGAGAGAGCATGAGCAGGGGGAGGGGCAGAGGGAGAAGCAGGCTCCCCAACTCAGGGCTCGATCCCAGGACCCCGAAATCATGACCTGAGCGGGAGGCAGATGCTTAACCAACTGAGCCACCCAGTGCCCCCACCTGGCACTCTTTATTGTAATTACTTCTTATGTACCTGTCCTCCAACTACCCTTTGGGCCTGAGGACAGTGAAGTACCTATCTATAACTACTCTATGGACTATGGATGCCTGGCACATGGTAAATGACTATTAAGTAATTCTGAATAAATACTCCGAAGTGTCTTCAAAAAATGAAAACAGAGCAAAACATTGAGAAAGGGAAAGTGGTCTATCTTTTGGCTGTCCATTCTGGGAATTAAAACCCTGTTAGTATCTGTGTGTGTCTCCCTGAATACGAAGGCTTACTCCTCTAAGTTTTCTGAAGCAACAACAGGAGATGAAACCAAAGTATTGTGTTATTATAAAGAAAAATCTCTCATATGTAAAATATATTTCATTCACACAAAAGAATCATGGCACTGATTCTGCAGCAATATTCTAAAGTTGGAAATTCAGACGAAAGATTGGCTTAGTCCCTATCCAGGGATGGCACCAAATTTATGAGGTCTTTCCCTCAAATATACTGAAGATTTCCTATACATATTTTTTTTAAAGTGGAAAAAAGGGGGCAGGGAACAATATAATTAGTACAATCCCGTTACAGGGGTTAAGAAAAAACTGCACTAAACCCCCAACATCTCCACCAGATAACCTTTAATATTTCTACATACATATATAAATATAGAGAAAAAAAGTCTGAAAAAA